TAATACAAGTTAATTTAACATAATAGTAATACAATATAATAAGGCTGATATAAACACAATGAGGGTCAAATGGTTATAGTTGGAATTTAACTTGAATTGATAATCACATTTAATTATTAAGATTAAATAAAAGCTGCATTTTTTTTCTTGTTAGCTCAATACTGTATGTTCAACAGATGTGAAGATAAGCAGCATAAAATCCTAATGAAGTACGGGTCACAAACCTTTCACTGCTTCCGGAACAAAGTTCAGTTGAAAACATTTGATCCCAACATCTAAGAGAGTTTGTGCCACATGGGAAATAAATCTTTCTCTGAAGTGTGAATTAACTTGTTTTAAATTTATTAGTAGGAGGAATAAAAATGCTGACGTCTTACATTAAAGACTTGCGCTATTATCCACAAGTGTATGAGTATTTCTAAAAGGATAAGGGTTGATTTTGGGATGTCTGTGTCCCCCAATGTTTTCTAGATAAGTTCAAGGAAATGATACAGATGCTTAATTTAAAGATGAAGGTAAGTATGCTAAAACGTAGATAAAACATAAATGCTAACAGAACAAAAAGGGGAGACTATAAACCTACTATTGACTCATTATAAGAGATGCACCCATCAGCTTTTTCTAACTGATCATCTCAAAGCACTATCTCCATTTGGTAGGGAACGAAAACACAACCATTTTATGTTAGTTACTGGTTTTAAGGCCCATATATTTTCCTGGTTTGCAAATATAAAACATTAAAACTATTATTTGATCATAGTAGAGTAGGTGGAGGAACAACTGTGTCCTCATGCAGCCCAACATCAAAGTACTGGTGCCTTCTATTGTCCATGGAGCTTCAAACTAGGAGCGAATCTGAGTTAAATGAGTTCCACTTTCCTACTTATGGACCTTTATATTTTAGACAATTTATATATGGTAGTTCTTGAAACCCTAACAATAAAAAACTACTGTTCTACATGTAATTTTGCGCATATAAAAATGTAGAGATGTCAAGTAACAAAATAAAAATACTTTGTTACTGTACTTTACTCCATTACTTTTTTTTCTTCCTACTTCTGACTTCTACAGTAC